GGAAGCTTACCACCACCCAATCAATCTGATTCAAGTTTTGAGGTTTGCGAGCGTTGTAAGAGTTATTTTTATAAGGTTATTTCACACACAACTCCATAATGATGAGATATTGTCCGTTTTGGGCCTAAGCCCTCATGATTTTGCTTTTTGGTCATCACTCAAAAGGCCTCTCAATCATTGGAGTATGTGTGTACTTTATAAGTTGGTATTTCTTCTCTCATTTTATCAATGTGAGATGTAACACCCCAATTTTCATACCATTTATTGAGGGTAATTTAGTAATTTTCATAAATTTATAGGGGTGATTTAGTAGCCCAAAATGGGTCGTTCCCAAATTGGAACGGGCCGTTCCAAACTACAAAAACGAGGTTGATTTAGTAGCCTAGAACGGGCCGTTCCCAAACTGGAACGGCCTGTTCCAAACTACTAAAAAGGCCTATAACCCTAATTAGGAACGGGCCGTTCCAAATATAGCTGTTATGGGTTAAATGCAACCCCAGAACGGGCTGTTCTCAAACGGGCCGTTCTGGTTTGAGAACGGGCCGTTCTAGATGTGAATTTTACACATGACGTAAGAGTCTAGAACGGCCCGTTCTGGATTTGAAACAGGTCATTTCGGTGACTCCTGATGCCTATAAATAGAGCGCTTTAGCACTCCTAAAAAGCACACTTTTCACTTCTGACTTCTTTTCTTCTACATTCTCTTCTTTTCTTCTACACTCTCTGAAGACCGAGGGAAACCTAGCGAAGGAGACCAACCAGATCATGCTTAGTTTCAACTACTGCTTATCAAGGTACGGGAGAAAAAGGGAGATTTATGTGTAGAGTCATATGAGGGAATGGGTGGAGAATAGTTCTTGTAGAGTTTTTAATAATTTTATAATTGTTTCTGTTTGGAGAATTATTGGTATTATGAGATTCTGTATGTGTTTAGGATTATGAATATATGATTTATTTGTAAAAATGATGCTCTGGGAGAGAGAACGAAATTGTAGAAAAGTGTCTGGGGGTTAGGTTTTGGGAAAAATTGGGGGTTGTACTATTTGAGTTAAGATTCTATTAAATTGGTGATTCAAATGAGTGTTATATTCATTTATAAATGTTATTGTTATATTATATGGTAAAAAATTGACGATCTATAAGTGAATTCATGGTAAATTGCTTGAGGGGTATGTGAACCACTATTTTGTTGGACTTATCTGTTGTGTGTATATGATATGAAATTGAATTATGAGATGAGATGTATGAATGTGAATATGATTGTGGTTCGTCACATTAATGACTAGGGATGGCATGACCCTTGGGTAAGTGATGCTATAAGGACGGCGTGACCTTGGTATAGTGTGGGATGAGTGAGGCCATTAACACGTATCACTTATGTCAGATGTGGCGTGGCCTTGGCATAGTGTTAATTATAAGATTTGTGTGGATTATGAATGTGCCTGTGGTTCCTCACACTAATGACCAGGGATGGCACGACCCTTGGGTAAGTGATGCTACAAGGACGGCGTGACCGTGGCATAGTGTGGGATGAATGAGGTAATTAACCCGTATCATTTATGTCAGTTGTGGCGTGGCCTTGGCATAGTGTTAATTATAAGATTTGTGTGGATTATGAATGTGAAAATGATAGTGTTAATTGCAAGATTTGTGATGGATTGGTATGATTGCGAATTATGATGTGAAGATGATGCATGATTGATAGAGTTATGATATATAGAAATGCTTGTGAATATTTCATTATGTAATGAGTTATGATGAGATTACATTGTGGTGTGTTTGTATGTGTTTTACATATAGATGTTTTCTTTTCTCACCGTATAATTTGTGGATGTTTTAGGTGAGAAAAATTTGGCTATGAGTGGCATCTAGAATGACAACAGTCGAATTGTGGGTATGCTCTAATATTGTGACATCGGGGCAGAGGACTTCTAGGACATGGAATTTTTATATGAATTTGGAGTTGTACTTATTATTTTAAAGCAATTTGTAAAATCTTATGTTTTATTTTCCAATTTTTATTCATTTTGGATATTGAAGAATATTTGTGAAGGCTTTTATGTGAATCCTTTTACCAATGTTGAAAAATTTATTTCCTTAGTTTATTTACATTATTACTATATATGTGTTGGGATAGTAAGGGTGTCACAACAAGTGGTATCAGAGCTGATGGTATGATTAGGTGACCAGCTTGACTAGTATGATGGCTGGCAGGTGGATCCAAGTTTGGGATCTCTTGTGTCGAAAGTCTTCCTAACGGTGGGTCCATGTGGAAGAGAGGCTTCCTAGTAACATGAAGGGTTAGGAGGTGTGTCCCAATGACATGAGAGAAGTCATGATGGAGCGACAGTGCAAGCACTCAGAGAGTGAGTGAGCTCTGTGGGTCACCATTGGATAATAATCATAGTTTTCGTTGCAGGGAAGGGGGTAAATCGTGGTCCTTTGTTTGAGGGAAGGATTGTTGGGATGCAAGCAAAGTCCCACATCATTCAAACAAAAGGATGGACATGGGTTTATATACACACACTTGTCTCCATTGGTGGAGAGGCCTTTTGGGTGATGTCCAAAAGAAAAATCGTGAGGGCTTGGGCCCAAAGCGGACAATATCTCACCAAAGTGGAGACATGTGTATATGTATGGTAACCCCCCTAATGCACAACAAGTGGTATCAGAGCAGGTCGATTTAATCGGTCGTGAGTTATGAGTCTACTATGCTTGTTTGGTAGATGAATGATGGAATGAATTGATTGTGGAACTTATTGATATGTTAGTGTGATGATTGAATATGTTTGTTCTTTATTTAATTATAGTATAATTGTTAACTTTTCTAAGAATCAGAAGAGTAATGGCAGGAGGTAGGAATGATCGTGTAATCACTGATGCTCTACAAGAGATGGCTCAGGCTCTTGGTACTTTGAACCAACGACCAGAGGTAGATTGGCTGGAGAGATTCCAGCGAAATAATCTACCAAGCTTCCGTGGGGGTTATAATCCTGATAGAGCTGCTGACTGGATTTTTGAGGTTGAAAAGATATTCCAAGATATAGGATGTCCTTTGGTGCAGAAGGTGACTTTGGCTGCATTCATGCTTTCTGGAGAGGCTGGGGTCTAGTGGCAAGGTGCTTTGCAGAGAATGATGGTTGCAGGTACCCAAGTGATCTGGGAGAATTTCAAGTGGCTATTCTTGGAGAAATACTTTCCACGAGATGTGAGACATAGGAAACAAGTGGAATTCCTTGAGTTGAAGCAAGGAGAGGATTCTGTGGCTGAGTATGTGACTAAGTTTGAAGACCTGGTTAGATTTTTTCCCATGTATGATGGTGTGGGTAATGAGGAGTGTCGCAACCCAAAAATTTCTGATCTTGCGACCTATGGTTTATACATCCTTTTGAAAATCTCATCAATTAAGGAATGCTCGGACACCAAACTAATCCTTAATTAATGGTTTTGAAAATAGGTTCATGGAGTCGCCACCAATGTTTTACTCAAAACATTGGAAAAAGAAAAGGTTTTTAGAAGTCCAATAATGACCTTGACAACCAGAATTGGGTTCGGGGGTCGGTTACGTGTAAGGAAGGTATTAAGCACCCCTACAACGGCCTAAATCGATACCCTATGATGAAGATAACGTAATAAGAATTAATAGTTTAAATGTTTAATCCTTTTTATTAATGATTATTTACATGAAAATTAAATTACATGATGAACCCTAAGATATCTACATGATTGCGTTTATTATAGCAATATATGAAATAAAAGAAGAGAAAGATAGAACAAGGGATTGATGAGTAATACCTCGTAGCAAGCTTTATTAGATCTTCAACTATGGAGATTTTAGGTGCTTTACGGCAACCTTTCACACTATAATATGCCTCACAAAACTCAAGAAATACAATAGGAGAGAGAGAAAGAGAGAAATTTCGAGCTTTAAGGAGTCTTGGACGAAATTTTTGAGGCCCTTGAGAACTGTGCCCAAGCTGTCTATTTATAGGCATTAGAAGGGTGCCAGAACGGCCCGTTCCAAATTCGAAACGACTCGTTCTGGATCTGAACGTTATGTGTTAAATTCTTACCCTGGAACGGCCTGTTCTGAAACCAGAACGGCCCGTTTTGAGGTTAAGATCAACACAAAAATGCATTTCTAGAACGACACATTCCAAACTAGGTTTTTTAGGCTATTTAGCGGTTTGGAACGACCCATTCTAGTTTTGGATTAGCCCGTTCTAGTTTAGGAACGACCCGTTCTAGCCTAAGATTTTTAGGCCTTTTGCCTGGTTTGGAACGGCCCGTTCTGGTTTTGGAATGGCCCGTTCCAGACTAGGTTTTTAGGCCTTTAAGTTGCCCTATAAATTCTGATACTATAATATTAGCTATACCTTCCTCAGAACTTTTGTGGGTTGTTTGGTAGGTAGTACATACCATGGTCATATGTTGTAACATATGCATGATATTGTACGAAAAAATTAACTATACACAAAGAAGAAGTGTCGAAAAAGCCGACGTTACATCTTAAAATAGCGCCAACTTTTCCGACAGTATACGTTCTTTGAGAGAGATAAAGATAATTTTTTTCAATGTTATATACACATAATGTGTTCTAGTACACTTGGTTATCAAGTTCACTTAAGACCTCAAGGTTCACAGATCGAGTCCCAGGAATGTTAAAAATACGAATGAATAAATGATAAACTAGAAAAATAAGATACAGAAAAAATAAAATAAATTTTGTGTCAACATAGTGTCGACTTAACCGACAATAAAAAATTAAAATAAATAAATTTGTTAGTGACGGGTTAGTCGACACAAAAAAAATTGTGTGGACTTATTTAGCGTCGGCCAAAAACCAACGATTAACCAACAATAAGTAACTCTTTCTAGTCAATCAATTGTTGTTCAACATCATATGGAATTTACTAAATTGATAAACTTGCTGGTCAATATATAATATTTAAACAATATATATTAGCCAAATCCTACAACATATTTCTTACAAATTCTATCTAGGTATTAGAAGAATGAATGAATTCAACAACTACCTGATGTACATAGTCCAATAACCTTTCACGCACAACTTCTAATGATATCATCTTCATAACTTCCTCACTCATGGTAAATGGATCTTCTTCCCAGGGTCGTTGAACTGCCTATGCATAAGAAAAAATTAAAAATCCAGAATTAAGATGGTGAATATATAAATCAAAGATATCTAAACAAACTATAAAAAATGTACAGTAAAAGAAAATATATGTAAATATGCATAGTAAAAAATGAAGCAATTATGGTAAAGAATGCATGGTAAACTAAGTCTTATCCCACAAGGTAAGGCAGTCTCATCCTACAACCTAAAAAACACATTGCTGATTCCTTAGAGAAACTATTAAATCATTTGTTTACACCTAGTAGACAGTAGAAGTAGAAAGATTCATGCCTGGTCCATCAAGTACTGAGTCAGATCTTTTATTCCAGCCCCCTTCAGTCCTGATATCATGAAATGCCTAAAGAATAATAATTAAAAATAAAGAAGGTATTAGACGATAGCTAAAGAACTAGGGTCAATCCACACAAAGTTATTGTCATAGTGCACACCATCGTCTTCCCTAGTCTTTCTACAAGAGAACCTTTCCTTTCATATCCAGGAAGATCTTTGAATTCCTTAGAGAAACTATTAAATCATTTGTTTACACCTAGTAGACAACAGAAGTAGAAAGATCCATGCCTGGTTCATCAAGTATTCAGTCAGAACTTTAATTACTAGGTCAAAAAGTTAAAGCGTGCGTATGTCAAAAAAGTACATTACTTTTTCAGATAAAGACGACATCTCTGCAACTACGATGACCGGTAAAGGAAAAAAAATTCCTAGGTCGCACTTAAATTCAGACACTGCAGCTACCAAAAACGTAGAAGACTTCAGACAATATCTATAAACAGGAAGCAACATTTAATGCAAGATCTAGTGCATTAAATGAGAAATCGAACTAGTCATGAACGACTACATTTTGGTTCAACGAACACTTGCAACGGGCAGATTTTACAAAGACTATAAATATTTCATGACTCCAAACCTGGAAAGGTTGGCAAAGAGTGATTCCAAGCCCAAGAAGCAAAGAAACCAGAGACAGAGCATACATAGTCAAATGTATAATATTGTATTTATCTCTATAGACTAAGGAGTTCTAAGTGTAACTTAGGAACTTAAACCTTAGTGAGTGTAGTAAACCTTTGTATCCTCTCTGTGAGAGTAAACCACACACTCAAAATAAATTATCTATCATTTGTAAAGCCTGAAGAGGCTAGGGAAATAATACTTATAAAGAGGCTTGTCGATAATCTTCACTGAGAGCTTGGAGAGGCTGAACAAAGAATACTAGCACTAATGAGTGAAGTTAGCAGGCAAAGAGTGGTCGATAATCCTCACTGAGAGCCTGAAGAGGCTGAACAAAGAATACTAGTGCTAATAAGTGAAGTTAGCGAACCAGGAGTGGTTGATAATACTCGGGAACTAGGAGTGGTTGAGAATACTCACTGAGAGCCTGAAGAGGCTGACGAGTGAAGTTGGCGGGCCAAAAGTGGTCGACAATACTCGAAAAACCAGAAGTGGTGATAATACTTGTACTTGATTGAAAATCTAGTGGAACCCTTCAATTGAAGGAGACTGAATGTAGCTTAGTCTGAGCGAACCAGTATAACAATCTTTGCACTATCTTTCTCTTCTCAGACGCAAATTTATTTACTTGATATTTTATACTAAAAATCTTACTCACTACTTATTTCAAACTACAACATCTTTCGGACGGAAAACATCTCTTGTTTAACTTATTACTACAAGAAACACTCTTGTGCAGACGATAAAACTTGCAGACGCAAAACACTTTTGAATGTTATCTTAAAAGTAAACAAGAGATACATCTTGAATTTGAAAACGTCAGTATGAAACATGAAAAATCCTTTTATACAAAAAGATTTCCTTAAACCTTCGCACACACATATTCAACCCCCTTCTATGTATTTTTCCTCTAACTTCAAAAACTATAATGTTGCTACAATTATTAGTTGTTATATGTACATATATACATACATACCTATATATTTATATATACATATTTGAACTTTCCGACCTTTTAAATATTAAAGATTCCATATTAATTGTAAAAAAAAAAATTATTAGTAGTACTTCACGCCCAACGTCAAGAGGTGTGGGACATAAAGTTTTTCTCTTCTTAAAATAAGTGATATGTCAGGTTTTTAGAACCTAAATTTATTCCTAGGTAGCACCTTACTAGCAAACCACTTAACCCATTTCTTATAAATTATTAAAAATGCACATTATATTATTTTAAAATTTCCATTTTGTTATAGAATTAACTTAATCTATTGTAAAGATTTATTTATTCTGGAATTTCAAGATGTTATGCATGATAAAAAATTATCTGATAAATATAGCATTTTAATTTATTTATTTATTCTTGGTTTTTATTTATGAACATTATATTATCTATTTTAATTTTCTTTTCTGTGCTTGGTAGATAATATGTAGGCTTCGAGTTCCGACCAAGTTGGTATGTCTTTGCGTTATAGAGATGCCTAATTGTACCTTGGTGTATTATTAAAAAAGATATTCGATTTGTTGTCATGGTGTGCCCCAATTAATATATATGATTAAATTTTTAAATGATCTTAGCATATCCTACTCTTTTCTTGATCTACTCTCAAATCATATCATATCTTATCCTAACCACCAAATAGGTCTTAAGTGTGTATGGTAATTTCTATTTTGTAATTGTATAAAATTATGATTTTATTAATAAATAGCTTTCGTATAAATATTTAAAGTGATGGGATTTTCACATTCTAAGTAATGTAAACGTAATTACAATAATACTTGGAGTATTACACAAACAAATTAAAACAACTAATATAAACTTTTATATGAGGCGTTGTGATAATTGAAATTATTAATTAAATTGAAAAACACATGTATGCCACATACAAAAGACACCATCTCATGAAAATAATACACAAGACAATATATGACTTTAAATTTTAACCTTATTATTTTAATACACTCATAAATTCATTTTTTTTAATTACTTTTGTTGATTAAATGATAAAAGTAAAATTATTATTTGTAAGTTATTATGAAATATCAAAAGACACATTAAAAAGGATATAGACAAACAAATATGGTTCCAACATTTTGTTTTATTTTTCTATTTGAAGATAAAACTCGATAACTAATTTACATATCCTTTCAGTAAATTGTGGAGATCATTGGTATGTTTTCCACCACATGAAAATGTACATGCATCGAAACATAATGAATATGCCGGAAGACCGATAAATTTGTCGCAATTAACTTTGATACAATTCCGAAAACAATTCGGATCAAGCGTGTTGGTTGACTTAATTTGCACGAATGGAGAACTCTCAGCATGTGTAAGGTTAAACATAATCATGCTTACAATGACAACAACAATAATCCTTATCTCATTTTTTGCCATAACTTTTTCCAATGTCTTTGTAGGTCAATGATTTCTAAAGAAAAGAAATAAACACCAATTTATAATAAAAAAAAAATAAGAGGGATGCAATAGTTAATTGTATTGTAATTTTTTAGTCAAAATTGAATAATTAATTATTATTAAATATAAGGAAAAAAAATTCTTCGAGGTCAAAACTATATTGTTGCTACAATTATTAGTTTCTATATGTATATATATACATACATACCTATATATTTATATATACATATTTAAACTTTCCAACCTTTTCAAATTAAAAGATTCCATATTAATTAAAGAAATTTATCAGTAGTAGTTCACACCCAACGTCAAGAGATGTGGGACATGGTTTTTTTTTCCTAAAATAAATGATATGTCATGTTTTTTAAGCCTAAATTTATTCCTAGGTAGCAGTTTACCAACAAATTACTTAACCCATTTCTTATTCAATTATTATAAACACACATTATATTATCTTAAAATTCCCATCTTTTTTTTTATAGAATTAACTTAAGTTATTAGAAAGATTTATTTATTTATTCTAGAATTTCAAGATGTTATACATAATAAAAAAATATAATTAATGTTGCATTTTAATTAATAAAAAGTATAGAAATATATATTGATAAATATTAATTAATATAGTAGGATATACATTATAATTTCATATACAGTATCTTATGTAGCATACTACCATTCTAATTTTAATGTGTAGATTTGAAATATATTATTAAATAAATAAAAAATAACCATAATTTATGTTATAAAACTTGTCCAATATATTGGATCGATATGTATTTGAACTTCAAAACATTACTAGATGAAGAAATATATATTATTTTAAAATATTTACAAATTTTGCTTTGTGTAGGTGTTGAACAAAGAAAGATTAACCACTAAGCCACCGTAACTGTAACGAATCGCCGTGGTTCCTACACTTAGTGGAATCGCACTAATAAACTAGTGAACTAAGAAAAGATATTAAAATTGGATAATTCATACATACAAGTATATATATAAATAATAATAACTAAGTTTCTATGAACAAAGCATAACCCCATATATGTACAGTCATCCCAAAAATAATATCACCCTAGTGCCGATCAAGCATAGACAAAACAGTTACCCAAAATGGTAACTCTAATACGAGGATAAAACTCCACGTCCCGCAGTGGTCACCTCAACTCCAAGCTAGCCCTGATTTGCTCCCATGCACAGTATGATCATCGCAGTCCATCCACATGGAGACAGAAGGGTAAGCTAGAGTTCAATAGACAACCATACAAGTATAAAACAATAATCTATACTACACAATCATCCAATCATGAAGTCAAACACCATATACTTCATCATAATAGCAATCATGCAATAAAATGCAACTTATGATAGATATCAATGTATATCAATCATCTAATGCGTCGTCACGCATACACCAAGGAGATCTCCCTAACAGCAGAGTAGTATAAGTGACATCTCAATCCTACTGAAACCACCCCAACCGTTTTCATGCCCAATGCGCCTGCTCGGTCACAGCTAACAGGATATAAATCCTCACTCAAGTTTACTCGGATGATGTCATTTACACACTTGGAAGTCTGGTTCCACCATCAGGTATAGTACAGCTGGGTATAGGCGTACCACGACCTTGGCATGCATTACCAAGTAACTTGTGGAGTTCGCCCACTGAGTATCTACAAGAAACCACGCACCTTCCCCAGTACTTGATTAAGGGAATAACCCTCGACCTCATACCCCGCTCCAACACTAGCTAAGGACTTAGATGAGACTCACCCAAAGTAGTGGCCTATCCAAGCACCACTCTCACCCTAAAACCAGTGGTCTATCTAAGCACCACTCTCATTTATATCAGTGACCTATCCAAGCACCACTCTTAAGAGATTCTATGTGAGCTCTTCCAGTTTGAAAAAATTTTCCCTCTCCTCAAGTTCTAGGCTAGACACATGCCATAAGGCATCACATGCAATAATGCATCATACATCATACATGGTCAATCCACCATCATGATCAATATAATTCTCATATGATCATACACATATGTCATATCATGCTTAAACATTCATATATATCATTACAAAGCATACATATGAATCAAGCGCCAATTTACATCATATATAATACATAGATGAACCAATATACAACATAGTATCAAGCAACTTTTTATTCCACATGATAACAACTTAACTAATGTTGACAACTTGACCCCTGTTCACTAAAACAACCATATCTTGAGTTCTAGACCTTCTTTTTAGGTGATTCCAACTCCATTGGAAAGCTAAGATCCAAGGCTACAACTTTCATGAAGACCATAAAGTCAAATTCTGAAAGAACAAAAGCGTTCAGCGCCTCCAAAGCGCGTAGCGCTTCCCAAGCGCTCAGCCCTTTACCTTCAGGAACTCTCCCCTGGCACACTGCCCCCAAAGGGCTCAGCCCTTCAAAATGGCTCAGTCGTTTTGAAAGTGCTTAGCCCTTTAAAATGGCTCAGCCTTTTGGTTCCAGAAACCCTCCTCTGTCATGCAGCCCCTAAAGGGCTCAGCCCTTTAAAATGGCTCAGCTGTTTCATGACAGAGGCACCATGTTCTTTTCCTTTTTTGGACTTCCGCACTTGAAACTCAGAGAAAACCCACATGAAATGGAAGAAATAGCATCCATGCACCAACAACAGTTCAATCCAAGTCCTAGAAACAACATGTACTCATCTGATTCATCAAGATCGACCAAAACCCCATTTTCCCCAAAACCCCGAAAAATGAGCAATTCCTTCAATCCAACCATTGATTCTCAAAATTCATGCATCAATTGAGTTTCTAAACTCACATGCAACCAAATTTCTAAATTCTAGCTTCCCTCACCTAAAAATTGGCTCAAGATAGCCAAGAACTGAGAAGAAGAAAAATTAAACAGAGAAATTTGGGAGAGAGAGGAGCCCAGGGATCCAAAGTCCTTCTCCCTAAAACTTCTCTCTAAGTTTCTTTGAGAATGAACTTATGAAGTTCCCTTCTCAAAGAAACCCTTATATACTCTTCTCTTTAGAATCACGGTCATGGTTGGCCACCATCTTCATTGCAAGCTTATTTGTTATATTCCTACCTTTTTAACTCCATCTTTTACTTGAGATTTTTTTTTTATCTCTCCATTTCTTTTTCCAACTTTTTTTTGTAAAAAATATCTTAAGAAAAAAAAAAGAGATTAAAAATAGTGTTAAATCAAAAGATATCCCTTAAATTCAAAGTTTTAATATTAACAAATAAAATGTTTTTATATAGAAGAAATGTCTACGAAAACATCTTTGAAAAGTATCTTTGAAAGGTTTATTAGATAAAGTGTAAGATGTAGATCGACTATAAGACGATTGATAATCAGCTAAAGCATACAGTATGTCTCGTATGCTTTAAATATCTTAATACATCGAATTAAAAGATTGTCTCATAACTTACAAATCGTTAAAGAGAAATCATGATTTCCATCAAAACCAAATCCCTAAACTCATGAAGAAAAACAGATGAAGTCACTACAATAGCTGCTTTGCACTAATATTGCTTCTACAAGCTCCATTTACCATGGAAAGTTAATAAGTAGCCTTCTTGATTAGATAAGAGGGACTATTTGGTAAAATGCATTTTATACTTGCATTAAATGTACCAAACAATTATCTGTCACCACAATGAAGAAGATAAAGACAAACAAAGCAAACTTGTGAGCTAGACTCAAAGTATTGCAACAAGCATCTTCTCCAAAGCTACTGTATAAGAAGTTTTGAAGATCAAGACAAAGAGAGGTTTTTGATCGAAATACAAGAACATTCATAGACACATTTCTTCTATATAACTTTTGTCTTGTAGAAAAATCTTTGCACCAAAATATTGTATTCACGTCTTGGAGAGATGATTATAATAACCTTGTAATACCTGGATAATTGTTGTTATAGGGTAGAGGTTGAAGAGGCTTGATTGTAAAAGAATGCTTTGATAGTGACTTGAAGAGGTCAATCAAAGAACACTTGTTGTAGAGCCTGGAGAGGTTTGACTATAAAAGAATACTTAGTCAAATAACATTTGTTGTAGAGCCAAAAATGACTTGGGAAAGAATATTTGTAACTTTGAGAAAGTTAATGGAACTTAATCTAGTTGGATTGAGAATTAGATGTAGCCTCTATGTTTGAGACAAATTGGCATAAAAAATACTCGATATCTTATTTGTTCTTTTGATTACTCTTCTAGTATTTCGTTTGTTGTAGATACTACTTCACTCTCTTGCAAAAAATACAAGTTTTTGATATTCACTATTCAATCCCCCTTCTAATGACTATCTTTTTTTTTTCTTCCACATAGTATTACTTTTTCTAATTAGGTTAAAATACTAATTTGGTCCCTTATAATACTTTTTTTGTTTCAATTTAGTCTCACTTTAATTTTTTGTTTCAATTTGGTCCCTAATAATTTAAATTACTGTAATGTCGGACTTCTGTCCAAATTATTTAAACAAAGTTAATTGTTGGTCACGTGGATGCCACGTAGATGCATAGGTAGATGCAAAATTTTTTTAATGTATTTGGAACCAGAACGGCTCGTTCTGCTTGCACTCTTGGTGTGTTAATTTTGCACCTGGAATGGGTCGTTCCTGATGCATTATTTAATAGACAGCGAGTGCAAGCAAAACGGGTCGTTCTGAAACTAGAATGGGTCGTTCTGATTTTAGAACGAGTCGTTCTAGATTCAGAACGGGCCGTTCCAGAACACCAACCACATACATACGTTCAACAAAATGCAGCAATGTAGTTCAAAAATTAAAAACAAAAATTCATAACATAACATAAATTCAAAGACTGAAATATGGTTCAAAGTCTGAAAACAAAAATTCATAACATAACATATACTAAGAAAGTTTAAAGAAATTACTAAGAAGGGAAATCATCTAGATAACGTTGAAGGTGCCAATAATACATCTTATCCACCATATAATTATAGTGTTATTGGCGTTCATCCATCTCTTGCAATCGACGATCCATACATTGAATGGCTGATAGGATATCAGCATTATCTACCTCTACATGTGGTTGTGTGGTGAAATGTTGGTCCTATGTGTCCTCTTCCTCTACTTCAGGTTGTACCTCTTCAAGAATAGGTTGTTGTTGTTGGGGTACATTGGTCAATGACTTCAAGGAAAAATACCATGTCGTTTCATCCTTGACTGTATAGTGTCGATTTGGTAATAAGTGGTTCACTCCAGTTTGACTGAAAATGAAATAAAACCCGCCACCATTGTCCTTAGTGATACACTGCATTGTCCTTAGTGATACATTATATAGCTCAAATGTTTAGCAATTGAAGTTATCAATCCCCATTGACAATATTACCAAATCTAGTGTTTGAAATGTTTTGTACCTTGGGTTTTTTTTCCTTGCACGATTCACAACCGTGATTAGAATCACAGGTGTGAACTATAATCATTGACCTTTTGTGTTTGACATTCTGGAACCAGAACGGCCCGTTCTGCTTGCACTATTGGTATGTTAATTTTGCATCTAGAATGACCCGTTCTAGGTGCAAAATTAACACACCAAGAGTGCAAGCTAAGTTGTTGAGTTATGAAAATTATGTTATGTGGATGAGTTAAAAAAATACAATACAATCCTATTCATTTTGACGAGTTAAACGTAAATTCCTTGAGTTAAACCCATTGATCCCCTTCATATAAATACACACAAATATGTTACTAATTAGTTCTTTGTTGCACTCATCACTAGCAACACCATTCACTACATAGATTCAAATACTGAGCCGCAGACATTAGATCCAAAATACATCTTTGTTTCACTCTTTTGAACTCTTGTCTCAGTGCATTTACCACCCGGACTTACCAATAACTATTCTAAGTGGTAAAATAGCATGTGAGGAATAAATAAAGTATTTATATGTTGCAATATGATTTGATATTATTGATAAATAATTATGTAGTTGAATATTGTTTTATTATATGAGAAATATTTATTAACTTCATTGATAATTAATTTTAATCGAAAAATCTATCCAACTGATTTAATAAAATTCTCGTTTTACTCAAGTTTTTTTTATCATCTACAAGATTCATGTAGATTCAAATTTGAAACTTTATGTTAGGCAATATTATCTTTAAAAGTTATTTAGAGGTTAGACCCCTAGTTCATGATTAAAAGGGACCCAAAATTTTAAAATAAAATTGTATTTGTGATATAAATTTGTTATATTATTTTAAAAGAAAAAGTTATCACTTATAATTTTTTTATATCTGAAATATAAAATTGTGATATGATTATATATTCATATTACTTTTATTGTGAATTTTTTTTATTTTTATATTCGTAGAAGAGTAAAATATATTCTTGATCTCTAGAAATTTTCAAGTTTGATTTTAATCTGTAAAAAAAATTTGTCCTATTTTGATTTTTCTAATTTGGAGATGCACAATTTTTGATCCTTAATGTTGTTTATATTTATCTATCTATCTAAAGATATATATATATATATATATATATATATATATGTAAAATCCAGTTCATTCACAATGTAACTGTGAATTTCCTTCCCAAGCTCCACATTCCTCAACACTGAGCACGCCGACAGGGTGCTCACAACCGTTGCTTCATTGGGCTTCTTGTTGCTCTCCATTCGCATTCGCCGGTAAACATCAACAGCCTCTTGGAACCTCCTGCATTTGACATAACCTGAAATCATGATGTTCCAAGAAACACTATCCCTCTCAGGCATTTCCTCGAACACCTGACAGAACCCCTCAACTAGACCCAACTCAGCATACATATCCATCAATGAGTTACACACATAAGGGTCAAACTCAAGGCCAGTCTTAACCACAAAAGCATGAATCTTTTCCCCTTTCCTAACCTCCCCAGTGCAACCAATACCCTTCAAAACATAAGGGTAGGTGTAGTTATCAGGCCACAACCCATGTTCCCGCAATTGGTGAAACAGAGAAATGGCACTACAAAAACTACCCCTTTTCACAAAGGCCTTGATCATGAGATTGTAGATAAATAACGAGGGGTCATGAATGTGGTTGAAGATTCTGTTTGCATAGTTAAAATCCCCTAATGATGAGTCCATGGAAAAGGCCATGAGCTTGTTGAGGGTGTCTCTATCTTGTTGCAGGCCAATGCAGAATACATGGGCCTGAATTTGCTTCAATTGGGACATGGATTTGCAGCTTTTGAGAAGAGAAATGTATGTTCCCTTCATTAGCTCTAAAGAATGCATGGTGTTGTTGGTAATTTGAAGTTTAAATCTTACATCATTGAATTGATTCCATTCACCCTAAATGTTGATATGGGTATATCATTAACCAAAGAATTGTTATGAACCAAGGTAGAAAGAAAAATTAAACAATAATATTTTTTATGTGATGGATATAGAGCAGAAGCGGAGTTTGAAGGGTAGGTATAGTTTTTGGCGTATGTTGAGTTGCCTGCAAAGGGTATTAAACGATTAACACAACCCCATGTGAATCCGATGAAAAATGAGTTAAGTTGGATTGAGATTTTTTTTTTCATTGACTCTAAAAATCTAATTTAATTTGGTATAGATTCAACTGTCACTTTATAAAACAAATATAAATCATTTTTATTTTATTTATCTTAATCTTTTTTCAAATTCTATGATGAAATATAATTTAAAACAGAATAAATGTTATAGAATTAATACAAAGATATTGTTAAAGTAATATTTGATCAATAAATTATATCTTATAAATACATATTTATCATTAAATATCAATTTTATAATGTTCATTTTATATTGATTAGTTGCATAGATTAAATCACACAAATATAATTTAACGTGTCAATCTAACTCAACCATCTTCTATTCTCTAAGTTGTTGAGTTATGAAAATTATGTTATGTGGATGAGTTAAAAAAATACAATACAATCCTATTCATTTTGACGAGTTAAACGTAAATTCCTTGAGTTAAACCCATTGATCCCCTTCATATAAATACACACAAATATGTTACTAATTAGTTCTTTGTTGCACTCATCACTAGCAACACCATTCACTACATAGATTCAAATACTGAGCCGCAGACATTAGATCCAAAATACATCTTTGTTTCACTCTTTTGAACTCTTGTCTCAGTGCATTTACCACCCGGACTTACCAATAACTATTCTAAGTGGTAAAATAGCATGTGAGGAATAAATAAAGTATTTATATGTTGCAATATGATTTGATATTATTGATAAATAATTATGTAGTTGAATATTGTTTTATTATATGAGAAATATTTATTAACTTCATTGATAATTAATTTTAATCGAAAAATCTATCCAACTGATTTAATAAAATTCTCGTTTTACTCATACAGTCATCGCATCAAAAATCTCCCTTGCCACACTCACGTGTCCACACTTACAATACATGTCCAACAACGCATTTCCCATTATAGTAGTAAAATCCAGTTCATTCACAATGATAATTAATTTTAATCGAAAAATCTATCCAACTGATTTAATAAAATTCTCGTTTTACTCAAGTTTTTTTTATCATCTACAAGATTCATGTAGATTCAAATTTGAAACTTTATGTTAGGCAATATTATCTTTAAAAGTTATTTAGAGGTTAGACCCCTAGTTCATGATTAAAAGGGACCCAAAATTTTAAAATAAAATTGTATTTGTGATATAAATTTGTTATATTATTTTAAAAGAAAAAGTTATCACTTATAATTTTTTTATATCTGAAATATAAAATTGTGATATGATTATATATTCATATTACTTTTATTGTGAATTTTTTTTATTTTTATATTCGTAGAAGAGTAAAATATATTCTTGATCTCTAGAAATTTTCAAGTTTGATTTTAATCTGTAAAAAAAATTTGTCCTATTTTGATTTTTCTAATTTGGAGATGCACAATTTTTGATCCTTAATGTTGTTTATATTTATCTATCTATCTAAAGATATATATATATATATATATATATATATATATCCCATGTGAATCCGATGAAAAATGAGTAGTCAAGTTGGATTGAGATTTTTTTTTTCATTGACTCGAAAAATCTAATTTAATTTGGTATAGATGCAACCGTCAATTTATAAAACAAATATAAATCATTTTTATTTTATTTATCTTAATATTTTTTCAAATTCTATAATGAAATATAATTTAAAATAGAATAAATGTTATAGAATTAATACAAAGATATTATTAAAATAATCTTTAATTAGTGAAAATTACATCTTACAAATAATCTTTAAAATACTATATCATATCTATAAGTAAATAAAAAAAAATCATATTGCTCATTTTATATTGATTAGTTGTATAGATTAAATCACACAAATATAACTCAATGTGTCAATCTAACTCAACCATCTTCTATTATCTGAGTTGACGAGTTATGAAAATAATGTTATTTGGATGAGTTAAAAAATACAATATAATCCTATTCATTTTGATGAGTTAAAGGTGAATTCATTGAGTTAAACTCGTTGATCCCCTTCATATAAATGTACACACATATATGTTACTAATTAGTTCTTTGTTGCACTCATCACTAGCAACACCATTTACTACATAGATTCAAATACTGAGCCCGCAGACATTAGATCAAAAATACATCTTTGTTTCACTCTTTTGAACTCTTGTCTCAGTGCATTTACCACCCGGACTTACCAGTAACTATTCTAAGTGGGAAAATAGCATGTGAGGAATAAATAAAGTATTTATATGTTGCAATATGATTTGATATGATTGATAAATAATTACGTAGTTGAATATTGTTTTATTATATGAAAAATATTTATTAACTTCATTGATAATTAATTTTAATCAAAAAATCTATCTAACTGATTTAATAAAATTCTCGTTTTAATCAAGTTTTTTTTTAATCATCTACAAGATTCATGTAGATTCAAATTTGAAACTTTATGTTAGGCAATATTATCTTTAAAAGTTATTTAGAGGTTAGACCCCTAGTTCATGATTAAAAGGGTATATAGAGCAGAAGCGGAGTTTGAAGGGTAGTGTATAGTTTTTGGCGTATGTTGAGTTGCCTGCAAAGGGGTATTAAACGATTAACACAACCCCATGTGAATCCGATGAAAAATGAGTTAAGTTAGAGGTTAGAACCCTATTTCATGATTAAAAGGGATCCAAAATTTTAAAATAAAATTATGTAATTGTGATATAAATTTGTTATAGTATTTTAAAAGAAAAAGTTATCTCTTATAATAATTTTTATGTCTGAAATATAAAATTGTGATATGATTATAAATTTATGTTACTTTTATTGTGAATCTTTTTTATGTATTATATTTGTAGAGGAGTAAAATATATTCTTGATCTCTAGAAATTTTCAAGTTTGATTTTAATATGTAAAAAAATTTGTCCTATTTTAATTTTTCTAATTTGGAGATGCACAATTTTTTATCTTTAAAGTTGTTTATATTTATCTATCTATCTAAAGATATATATATATATATATATATATATATATATAGT